GCCCCCCCCCCCGACCCCGAGCTGCAGCTTCCCACCCACAGCACCCACAGTGTCATGCTGCTCACTAGCTTGGTTGCCCCCCAGGCCACCCCCGAAGACCTCCAGCTCCCATTTCAACATCATTCCCAGGGACAGGGCAAACCTCTCAGAGAAGCAATGCTGCATTGCTGGATGGCTGTACGACACACGACTGGGAGAGTGCTGATGTTTTTTATTTCAGTTCAGGCAGCATGTGAAGGGTTGTATGACTGGTGGGGTGAAAGTGAAGTGCTCTGGAGCTGGGACAGCTGCTGTAAAGTGTCCCCTTGCTCACCTGCCCTCCCAGGCAGCCTTGGGTGGGCAGTGGGTGAGACCACGTCTGGACCCTTCAGAAATGCAGGAGGAACTTGCCTCTGGCTTTGGCGGGCTCTGGGCAAGCCCTGGGGCAGCAGGGTACTATTCCTGCCCTGGGAGCTGTGCTGTGGATGGTGACAGTGGTGAAAGCAGGACATCTGTGGGACAGGGCTGGCCCTTCTCCCTTCCCCGAGGCTTGGGCACCTCCCCAGCTATACCTCCAGGATCGGATGGTCTGGTGTTTCCTGCCACAGACACAGGGTGAACAGGGCACACAGGCAGCCACACTCTCGCAGCCACCCCAGGCTGTGGTGCTTGGCATTTTTGGAGCCACTCATTACCCCGAGCCCAGCTCAGGGTCCCGCATCAGGGAGGAACACGGCTCGATGGCACCTCACGTGGAGACCTGCTGCCTCCGCTGCTGTCAACCTGCTCATTTCACACCGTGCAATACAGGATGCTCTGCCACCGCTTTCCCGGACACCCTTGGGCAAGTCCCCAAACGTTTCCCAGCCCAGTCAGCAAGTCACCTCCCCCCCTTGTTTCCAGCATCCCTCAAGCAACACAATGCCAGCAGAAGCTGTCTTTCATTTTGCACAGTGCGCACACTGAGGAGCAGGGTACCGCTGTGGTTTTGCCAAAAGCCCTTTGGTGCAGGACCCACTCCCACCTTGGCATGGGTGGGTTAAGCTGGTGCCATGAGGGATTTACCGGAGGGCTGGCAGGGAGCGAAGCCCGCAGTCCCACCACGTGCTGCCAGGCGGGCCTGGCCCGGCACATCAAAGCACCGGGGCAGTTTCAACCGCGCTCCAGACGCTCCCTCCCATTTCCTGCTGGATTCCCGTCTCACTCCCTGCGCCCGCATCAGCAAAACCGAGTGTAAAAATAGAGGCTGGGCTTCACCAAAACACAATAGTAAATTGTTCCCCGGAAAGGTCACCAGGGCAGCTGAGAATAGCTCCAAGAGCAGGGGAAAAGGAACATCTACCAGGGGGACAAGTTTGAAAGTGCCTGCTGGACCCCCATAGGTTTCCTGCACCCCCATCACTAGTCTGGGTCCCCCCTCATGAGCCCCCAACATCTCAGAGCATCCTCATCATCTCTCATCCACCCCCAGCCCCACTGAGCCATGGAGAAATTCCAGCTCCCCCAGCACCAATTTATGGATGGACACTGGAAAAAAAAAAAAAAAAGGTGGGGGGAGCAAGAAATAAGGCAAAAGAAGAGGCAGGAGGACCGGAGAGAAAGAACAGAGCTGGGAGGAGAAAGGAGATCCCGCTCGCTGCTCGTCTCCTTGCTGCGTGTGACAGTGTGGTGTCCCCTGGGCACCACTGGCTGGCTGCAGCCTTTGTGTGGCGGTGGGAATGTCAGGGATGAGCCCCGGGATGAAGAACATATCGAGCAGTCCCAGAGAGCCATAAATTATTCCCTCCTGTTGTCACTGGCCCGTAACAGCAAAAAGGCGAAGCTTTCTTATCGTCTGCCAGGGTGGGAATGTTTGGGTCCTGCCGTTTCTGTGAGCATATTTAATTCAATAATGTGGGAATGCCCTTAATGAAGCAGGTCCTTGCTCTTGGCTGCAGTGGTGTTCCCAGGCAGGGGTGCCAGTGCAGGCTGCCCTCAACATGGTTTTGCCAGAAAGGCTGTAATTAAAACCAGATAATGAGGCTTGAAAATGAAAGCTGCCCAAATTTTGGGTGATTTCAGTTTTTTATGTTTCTTGTTTCATTGTCTTGGACATATATGTCCCTTTCCTTTTTTTTTTTTTTTTTTACATTCAATTTTATCTTGGTGCCACTTCTCTGTTCTCATTCCCCAGTGTCATATGTGCCATGGTAAGGGGAATTTTCTGCCACTGGGAGTCTGAATGTCACTAGGTTCCTGGGACATGTTAAAAACGTGGGTGAACAAAATAACTTTAAAAGCACCTGCTTCAAATTTGTGAAGAAACTGCTATTTGCCAGAAAATTTTCTGCAGTAGGAGACAGACCAGAACCCCCATCACCTTGTGATGCCACCGGTTAGAGATAAACCCCAGCCCTGTCCCAGCCAAGGACTGTGCAGTGAAGACCAGGACCTAAGGTGCTTTACCCAATTTTCTCCTCTGTTTTGCATAAATAGAGAAAAAATCAGGTTGGTGTTGGGTTTTTTCCCCCATATATTTGAATCCATGGATCAGTGCTCATCACCACTTGCCATGCAATCATGATTGTAAAAATTATTACTGTTTGATGGGAAATTAATGACATTTTCCATCAGAAGACAAGAATGGGAAGGGCTTTCAAAAATTACTTTAAATTTTTTTAAGAAAAGGCAGATGATATCTGCTACTTTCTGTGACATTTGCATCCTTCTAACTGAACAGCAGTAAGGTCCAGATGCTCCAGAGAGGAAGGTGCTAGAAGCAAGATGCTCCTTCCAGCTCGGTCAACATGTGGCCACCAGCCACCCAGGTTGGGAAAACAGCAGCTCCCAGGGTCTCCCCACCACTGGGGTCCCTCAGGAGCGATGCACGTTGGCCATTCCACCACAGTGGAAGAGGATGACATCAGCACCCTCACAGCCCTTCCTATAGACTGTAAAGCTATATATGAAATATATTTGTGCAGGGAGTGGTTTGAAACCTTCACCTTGAGGATGTTCTTCCCTTTGCTGGTGGTAAAGGCTGCATGGCCATGAAGGACATTTTAACTGAAGAAAATAAAAAAGCAGAAGGAGGAGGTGGAAGGAGAATTGTCCTGGCAATGGAAGGAGGGAGGGAGAGGGCCGGGAGGTGGGAGGGAGAGATAAACAGTGGGTGAGCTATCAGCTCTCGCCGGGCTGGCAGCAGGACGAAGGACGGGAGTTAAGCCAGCTGTGCAGCCACGATCGCCTGACCCCAGATAAACACCCAGCAACCCCACACTGCCCCACACCCACCTCACGCCTTGTACCAGCGCCCGGGATGGAAACAAGCCTGGCCCGACTGCGGGGACTTTCCTCAGCCTGGCTGGGGGGGCTCCCCATGTCCGTAGTGTGAGGCTGTGCCTGGACAGGGCTCCCCGCACCCCCGGGTTGAGACTGAGAAGGGCCCCCTTTTTCACCCAGAGGGAAAGGTCACCCAGAAACTTTAAAAGCAAGCATTGGCTGCTGGGCTGCTGGCTGTGGTGGGTTAGTAACTAAGCTTTTGGGGGGATGCTTTAAAAAGCAAGGGACACTCTGAAAGACCCTGTATAAGTAGGTAATGACTGAAAATCATAGAAATTAAAGACAAGAAAACACCCACAGTGCCATTTCTCTTCACCTGCTCCATGATATGGTTATGGTGTTGGCCACCATCAACAGCATGGTGCTGTAGTTATACACACACACACACACACACACACACATTCAGTAGACCACTTAGCCTGTAAACACTCCCTAACTAATTTACCAGCTCAATCACTTTTTAAAGTATTTGTGCACATGGCTCTTGTAACAACTTTTTTTTTTTTTTTTTTTTTTTTTTTTTTTTTTTTTAAAAAAAAAAAGAGGAATTACTGTCATTGCCTATTAATTCATGACCAAACACTGCCAGGCTGTGAAGGGGAAGCAGCATTACCCCCAGCATCTCCCTCCCTGCACCATGTCCCTCCCCAAAAGAGGGGAAAAAAACCATCAGAGCTTTTGGGGGACGTGCAAATAATGTGCTGGGGGTAACGCGGTGGCAGCTGGTAACGCTCGCCTGCGGCGGGGGGATTGCTTCACCGCCCGTCTTCCTTCCTGCTGGCCCCATGCACTCTTCCTCCCACTTGCTCTCTCTGCAAAAGCCCAGCCCAGGCTGGATAGCATGAGCCAAGCAAGAAAAAAAAATACCAGATCCTTTTGGAAGATTTTTGCTGTCTGTTTATGAGATTTGATGGCTGAGGATGGGCCATCCTGGCATCCTCACCCTGCAATACCCAGGAATGAAATACCAAAGTAGCGATGGATCCAAGCAACAAGGTGGGAGAGAGGCAGATGGCAAGTGGAGACTGCTTTGTAAAACTTTATTTAGAAATATTCTTGATATATTCATTATATATATATATTTATATATACACACACATTACAACAAATGTGTTTTCTAAATAGCACATCCACAGTGGGTTGAGACTCAGGGTACCAGGTCTGGTTACTTCGTTTCTGCAGAAAAAATGCAGAAATCCCAGGGGAGGGTGGCAGAGAAAAGGAGGGGGCTGAAAAAAACCCAAAAATCGTAAGGTGGGAATTCATTCACACAGTACGACATTGTCCCGAAGTGCTGTTTCCAACAGAAACAGGGACGATGATCCACACAGCAAGAGGTGAAGCAGGCAGGAGGAGAGGTGGGCAGAGGAAATGTACCATTCAAATCACAATTAAAGGACAACTGTACATACCCCAGGAGACCTATGGAGTGCTCTGCTAAGGGCTACGAGCAGGCACACGTGTGCATGGGGTTGTTGGGGGGTGCCACCAAGGTTGTACCATTTTCCCAACTGTTCAGCTACCAAAAAGATTTAAAAAACCCCAAATAACTTGTGGGGAAAGAGGAATTTCTGAGTGTTGGTGAATTTTTCTTTTAATACTTTAAACAAAAGGGTGTAAACCCCCCACCCACCCAACGTCAGGGTTATTTCAAATGTTGAAAACCAAGAACAGCTTTACCTGCGTGACAGTATCCCCATTCCTTCTTGGAGGACCCCACCTGACAGCCTCCACCACCCACCTCTCCTACCCCTGGCTCCAGGAGCAGCCCAAACCTCTTCCTCAGCATCACTCCATCACCCGCTAGCACCTCTCCCCTGGCCCAGTCATGTGGGTAACTCCCCTTAGTAAAAACCCCCATGCACAGGTGATCCGGGCCCAGGAAGGAGTTTTGCTCCTTTTCCCCAATTTAAGATGGGGGAGGTCGGTGGTTCCAGAGGATTTGGGCTCTATGCTGGAAACTTTGCTTGGGCCAGGACCCCTTCCCAGGCAACTAATTCTACCTAACGTGCCAACCCATGCACCAGCCTCCCAACCTATTATTTACAAAGAGTCAGTAAAACCAAGCAGGGACAGAAATTATGGGGCTCTGAATTAAGCCTGGAGGGGTTTGCAGACACCTACCCAAATCCTCTGTGTTTCCTTGTACCTCAAGCACCCTTAAAAGAAATGAGTGTGGTTGAAAGTGTCCCCATCAAAGGACTTTTTCCCTTTCAAATGATGTATGTGGGTGGCTTTTTTTTTTTTTTTTTTTTTTTTTTTTTTTTTTGACTGTAGCATGGTAGATATTTCTGTGCCTTAACATCTTTGCAGAGGGTGAGGATGGGCTTGGGGCAATCACTCTGTCAGGCATCAGGTGGTGGATGAGAGATGGGCCTGATGGAACGGTGATGGCATGATGCAGTCCTCAGCTCCCAGCCGCCACAGCAGCAGCCTCCTGCTCCCCAGTCCTGTTTCCCAAACATCCTCCCAGGGACAGCAGCAGGGATCAGAGGATCGGCTCAGTCACAAACATCAATTTTGCAGCAATCCGAGCACTCGGGAATGGAGGCTAATCCCACTGCTGCTTTTAGGGCTTCTCCCCAAGATTCAAAGACGGTATGGGCTCCTACCAGCCTCAGGCAGGCAAGGATCCTCCTAATGCTGGAATAAATCCAGCGCTGCAGTCCAGCCTGAGGGCATTGGCACAGCTGAACCACCATCATTTTCACGTAATAAAACCAAAAAACTCAAAGGATACCATTAAAACCCTTTTATACCCTATGTACACGCGCACTGTTGATGCATCATCAACTCCTTTTGCCTTTCTGAATTTAAAAATCCCCAGTCCAAAGGGATGCTTCACTAGCAAATTTTTTTTTCCCCTTACCAATTTTGAAATTCATCTTCCTTGAGAGAAGCTCTGGCCCTGCAGAAACTGCTGGGAAAACTCTAAGAGAGCTCAAAAGGCTTGGAGCTCACCTACTGAGTGATTACAGCAGAAGAATCAGGGACTGGGAGGGTGACAGAAAACACCTATGTACCTTTTCATTCAGTGGATACTGCATGACAGCATTAAACAGAAGTAATCCCACGTCATAAATACAACAACCCCAAACAATCCAAAGTTAGGTATAAGAGAAAGGAAGAAAGGAAGGAAAAAAAAGAAAAAAGGAGAGAAAAAGAAATAGTCTTAATCCTTTTAATAGTTCTTTTGCTGAGGGTATTTTTTCACCTCTTTAAAAAGATACAGTCAAAAGATCTCGGACAACACGTGGCCCCAGCTCCTGCTCAGACTGGTTGTATATGTCACAGGCCAGAGAAATGCTGCAGCACTGGCAGGTTTCAGCAGTCTCCAGCACCACGTGGAGCTGGAAAGCGTCGGTGGCCTCTGCCAGCAGTGAAAGAGGAGTTTCATGTCTCAACCAGGCGACTGTTTAAAAAGCGATCATCATCAAATGGTCTGAAAACCCTCTAAATGCTGGAGAGGTGCTGGCCACATCTCCTTCCCCTCCACAGAGTCACATCACGAGCAGTATGTACAATGAAGATGACTTCAATGCTTTTCTTCTTTGTACGATCACGTACCTAAATACCGAGCGTCCATCTGGTTTGGTCTTGTCCTCAGTCAATGCTCCAGCCGCTCTGTCCCGGGCTGGGGAGTACGGGGAGCCCGAGCCCCCAGGGAAAGACAGTCACAAATCCCACAGGCACAAGTTCCAGCATCTGCACGCTCGGGTCTCGCCTTCCCCTTGGTGCTTCGGGAGCGATGCGGAAGGTCATCACCGCTGCGCGCTGCCTTCTACAGGGAGAATGGCATGGTGCAGGCTCCGTGTGTGCTTCGAATCTAGTGTTTCGTGCTCTTCCGTGAAACTGTCCGGGCTCGCTGCTCCGTCTAAAGAACTTCCACAACTAGAGTTAGGAGACAGCATGTCCTGCAGGAGGTCTTCCTGGACTATCCCAGAGTCTTTGTTCACTTTGCCCCTTTGGTTTCCTTCTTCCTCCTGGTCATTGAGCAGCTTGGCTAGGAAGTTGATGTATTTCATAGCCAGGCGCAAAATCTCATTCTTGCTCAGTTTTTTGTCAGGTGGGTGGGTGGGGATGAGCTTGCGAAGCTCTGCAAAGGCTCCATTGACATTCTGCTGTCTCCACCTCTCCCGACTATTGGTAAAAATGCGACGAACCACTTTTGTGTGAGGACCTGCAATTGCAACCACACAGAATTAGGAGCAGGGCACAACAATCCATTTATTACTTTGCTGAATAGGTCACGGTTTCCCAGATTAACCAATTTATTTTAGTGACATCATCAAGGCCATGAAACAGGAGTTTCCAGCTAACTGGAAGCTAACCTGATGAGCTGAGGTAGCCATAACTTCTGTTTGATCGTGTGGAAGGGGAAAATGGAGTTGCATCTTTTTAGATGTCTTTTGAGGCACCTAAATTTACCTCTCCAAGGAGGAAGTCTTAGGCCATGACACATGCGCAGATGGCTGCTGTATTTTTAGAGTATTTCGGTTCATCAACAAGGCTATCTCAGCATCAAAGGTCCTATTCAGAGTTTATCTCACTATATGGTTTTATTTTCTATCCCAAAACTGTCTTAAGGACATACCATTGGGACAGGAAGAAATTAGCTTGAGCCAAGGCTTTGACAACAATAAGATCCAGAGATCTTCCCTGATGTAGGCAGGATCCAGAGTTGATAGAGACCATAGGATTGCCTCCAGCCCTCTAGGTGGTTTGTATGCAACAGGGTGGTAGGATTCAGCCCGTAGCAATGAGCACAAAGAGCAATGCAACCCACAGAGTGAAAGCAGTGTCCTTGCCAGAATCATGGTGGTGATCACGGGTAGAAGATGAAGGAATTTCACAGCTGACCTGATGGATCCACCTGCTCTCTCTGCACATCATGGCAAAGGCTCCCTATCTAATAGTAATTGCAGAATGGACTCTAAATTGCTAGAGGTGTCCATCTGGTATGTGAAATCCAGCTAAATTCCTGTAATTTTACAGCTGTTCTCCTGAAGAGAGATGTTGCAGAGGATGGATGCACAAAACACAGCCATTCTCTTTGCAGATCATCAGGATAACTCCTGTTGGCACGAACAATACATTGTCTCTGTGTCAGGAGAGACCCAAAAGTACTGTGCTGCAGGAGTAGCAAAGCTGGAAATCAAGACTGCAGGTCCATGTGTCCATGGAAACCAGTTCATGTCAGGAGACACTACTATTAAGATGCTTTTATTATTGCACCCTTCCCATCTGCACCTCCAGGAGACACCAACAGCGGAAGGACACACCAACGTCATGAAAGTCTTGGAGAATGACCATGACAGAAGACCCCATAGGATGGGAAGCACCACATAGAGTGAGAATCATCACAAAGTATGATGTAAAGTCTTGCCGATACCACATCAGTGAGTCATACCCAGAGGACAAGCTGCAGATATCTGCACCACCTCTACCCTGTAGCCCCCACTCTGAGACACTTGCCTAACTAGTCCCTCCTAGTGGCAACAAGTCCCTGGCCACAGTGAGCAGTTTAAGCCTGCAGCTCTGCCGTCACTGACCAAAACCAGCATCCTGAGGGGCATTTAAACATCATTATTCTGATATAGCAAAACTCACGGCTGCTTTGACTGTGGCAGATCAGCCAAAAAGATGTGATTTTGGAGGCAGCCTAGTCAGGCTGCACCTTGACAGATCCCATGGCATCACGCGAGAAGAGGAATCCCACGTTCCAGCTGATTGAACACCATCACACTTTCCTCCCTTCAGTGGAAACTGAGCCCCTTCAGTCCAGCCCATCCCACGAAATACCCCCACCACAGGGTTTGCATGGAGACACACTCCCAAGCAGCTAGATTAAAGCTACCGCCTTCCCCAGCATGCGAGCAGACATACAACACACTTGGCCTCACAGCATGCTCAGGAGCAGGGAGTGCCCCAAAATCGCAGAGCCCCTGGGGTACGCTGAAGGATGTCAGAATGAAAAACTCCTCTCTGACCTCTAAGATACTGGTCTGATGCTTTAATAAAGGTAATTTTCCACTCCCAAACAACACTTAAGTATCTTTCATATGAACTAATGTGCAAGAGCTCAAGAAAAGAGGTTTCTTGTGCCTGATGTGCACAGCCCACTGTGCCACAGGGTCGTGGGGAAGGTGATGGGGGCCAAGGGGACCTCAACAACACCAGGCTGCCTGGCACTGCTAATAAAGCAGTGGAGAATGTGCTACAACCTACTGCAATAACACAGCAGTTTCAATATTTAATGCTCTTTCCAGACAAAACAAAGCAACAAACCTTGAATCCAGGAAGAGATGCAGCTTAAACCCTTTTTACTCCCATAAGGGTATGAGGGGGAAAAAAAAACAAACCAAACCAAACAAAAACCAAAACAACTTTAGATACTTTGTTATTTTAAAGAAAAAAAAAAAAAAAAATCTCAAGAGACTTCCAGACTTCAATCATACATCTCTGTTCACTGAAAGTTGCCAACTAAAAGGTATGCATAAATAGGTCAGAAATCAAAAAAAAAGACCTGCTTGTTTTCATCCAGGGGCACCCAAACCAAGCTCCAGTGTATAACACAAATTCTGACACTGCTCAGATTTTTGATTTCTGCATCAACTGAATTAAACATATCTTTTAGAAAGAGATCGGGCTTTGTCCAGGACATGTCAAGCAATGAAGAAATTTAAAATGCCCCATAGACGTGTTATAACAGAAATGTGTTTCTCAAAGAAGCTTGCCTCAATTCCAGTAGTTGGCTGAGAATTTTTGCCGGGATTTTGTCCCAATTGATTGACCGATGCTTTTTTAATTGTGTTTAGAGATCTGAAGAAAACTAATAAAAAGACGAGCTTCCAAAGTTCCAGAATATCCTCGAAGAGACTTGGTTTTACATTTTTAATCTCCATGTATATCTAAAGAAATTCAATGCAGCAAACTTTCCCAAAAATGGATAAAGAAATAGTTGCAAAAAACCCACCAATTGTTTCCTTACAGAGGAAACCAAACACCAAGAACCCAGCGAGACTCTCCTGACCTTCTGCACCTCCCGAGGGCTGAGGACCCGCAGGAGCGATGCTCCGGGGTGTCACGGATGTCACCCGGCAGGTGACCTTCAGAGCGACGAGCAAAGCCCAGCATGATGCCTCGGCATGGGGTGCATATCCCTACAAATTGCTCCTGTTTAGACAGCATCATCTGGTACCTGCTTTTTCCCCCCCAAAAAAATTCTGAACCCAGTCTTGGAAATTCACATGAGCCAGGACCTGCAGGATTGGGCCCAATCTAGACACCTGCGTCAAAGCGCATATCGAAAAACTTGGTTACAACCAAGTATCTCTGTAATCCTTAATATCTAATTTAATAGCAAGGCAAAAGCTTTAGTCAGACACAGTGATTTGACGGACTTTTCACCGTAACCGCTAAGCCTCTGAATCGAAACCCAGACAAAAAGCCCTTCTTGTGGCGGGGGCTGAGACGAGTCTGCCCCACGGGGCTGCGGGCTGAAAGGACCAGGCAGACGGAGGAGGGCAGAGAGTGGGGGGAGAGGGACTGATGGACGCAGATAATGCCCTGAGCCCTTCATTTCGGGCTGTGTTATTTGAGAGTGGTGTGGATTATGATTTGATCTGATTTTAGATTAGCCGGGTAGCAGGGAAGGAACAGCTAGCTAGAAAGAAGGAAAATTAATTGGCGATTGAAATAAACAGCGTTTACAATTGCTGAAGAGAAAACACGTTTCAACGGACGGCGTTTGTATGGGCTGTTAACTCTGCAGATAAACCTGTCAGCCGTCCGCCTGCAAATTGTTCTTGCAACC